GGGGATGTGAAGAGGGACGTGAACAGTCTTGTCCACAGACAGGGTGAATTGGAAAGTGGATAACTGCAGATACTGTTTGGTTTAAATTTAACGTCTTACCATTTGTTTTCCCTTTTTACCCATTTTTAATTTGTCCTAGTTTTTATTTCTTTCTGCTTTCTTTTGGAATGATATTTTCTGTGTTTTATGTTATTGTTCTTACAGTTACTTTTCTTCTTTTTGTACTATTTTCTTTTTATGAAATCAAGGATAGATAAACCTACAGAGACAATAACTAGATCAATAGTTCCTTGGGGTTACAACAGGGGCAGCTGGGAATGCAGGAGATACTAATAACAGTGGATGCAACAATGAAGAAAATGATTGCACAACTCTTTTTTATGTATCTGAACCATTGGTTTGTATGATATATGAATTATATACCAATGAAATAATTAAAATTAAATATATATATTTAAAACAAAAGTTTGCTACTAATTGATATATATCTGAACTTGGTTTATCTGCCAGCTATCCAGGTGTCACAACATGGTCTAAGAAGTGTCAAGAATCTGTCCACAGCCCACTGTTCATACTTTACTAATTCCTTTTATTTGCTAAAGTGTATGACATTGTGGTTTCTATGCACACGGATATGTTATGTAGCTATCTAAAACTGTAGGACTTTTACTACTCCACTGGTTAATTACTGACAAAACATACCCAAAACAGGGAGGTAAAATTAGACAGATTATACTTTTGCTTTGCTTTGCTTTTTTTTTTTTAGATTATGCTTTTTCTTCTACAAAATGTCTGGTGGTACTTTGCTAACCTTTTCCCAAATGACCAGTGTCTAAGTATGGTGCTACCTCTCCGGCATTAAAAGACACAGATATTCTCTCTCTCTCTCTCTCTCTCTCTCTCTCTCTCTCTCTCTCTCACACACACACACACACACACACATTTATTTTGGCACCTTAGTATTATGTAGACTTTTACTCCTCACAAAATGGGAAAGTATTTGGAGCAGAAAATAGCTAATGTTATGTTGGAAGAAAGGAGCCTTGGGGGTATAGTGGCTACACATTGGGCTGCTAACTGCAAAGTATGTAGTTCAAACTTGCTGGTTGTTTCTTGAGAGAAAATTGAGACTTTTACTCTATAAATAGTACAATCTCAGAAACTCACAAGGGCAGTTCTACTCTGAACTATAGGGTTGCTATGAATTTGAATCTATTCAATGGGAGTGAGATAGTTAAGCTTTATTGTGCTAACCTGGCCAATAAAAACCTGTGAGATTAATTGAAGGGAGGAGTGATAAATGGCTCTGTGAACCTTGCCTTTCTGGTTCTCGGGTCTCTTGCTCTCTGATGGTCAGACCAGGGTGCAGCTGCCTTAGCCAGTTCCCTGCTTGAGCTGGCAAGGCTCACTTCCTGTGAGACATCCCTGAGTAGAAGCCACATGGACTTACCCTGATGCAGCCCTGAGTCCTGGAGAAGCCACATGGAGACCCCTGCCAGCACTGAGATACTTACACTGCCACTGAATTCAAAGACTTTCTACCCACTGGCCTGTTATCCTCCTGCATTCAGCATCATTGTGTGTACTTTGTGAGTTTGAAGAGGACTTTGTAGATCAGTGTCAGACATATGGGCTAAGTCAGACTTATGGGCTTGGACTAGATGGGGTTGGATGCTTTCTGAATGTACACTTACCCTTTATATAAAATTCTTGCTAATACATATATGAGTTTCTGTGGATTTGTTTCTCTAGTTGACCTAGACTAACACAGGGAGTGAGTTTGAGATTTTACGTAGGAAATTTTTATGTAGGGGCCCTGGTGGTGTAGTGGTTAAGTGTTTCTGTTCCTAACCAAAAGGTTGGTGGAGATGATCATAATAGAGTTTTTTTTTCTTTTTCTGGATAAGTGTGTTGCTAAAACCATGTGTAACCAACAAAAATTCTGTTATCTGGTCACTTTTTTAAAAGTACGCATTTTATAACTGATTTCAAAATCTCCCAAAAGAAAAGTTTCAATGGAATGTCAATGTATTTGATAAAATCCTAAAAACCCACATTATTTGATAAGTTTACAAGAATGTGATTATTCCTCTGTTAGAGGAAATGGAAATTTACTTGCCAGGTTTCAATGGAGTTCTTTGTGAGATTGAAAAATGAGTGTCCTCATTAAATGCAGCCAATGATACTCTTCTTCCACAAAGGTCAACTTACATTTCAGCTATGACAGCTGTGAAAACCAAGAATCAAAGTGAACTTAACATTAAACTATGACCTTAATTAATGTAATATTGATGAAATCCGAAAGGTTAAAGAATGAAGAACAACTATTTGGTTGCTCCAAAAAAGATTTTGCACTGTTAATAAATAAAATTACAATATATTGAAGTATCTAATCCTAAAGCTGTTGTGTTTGAATGCTGTTGTTGTTGTTAGGTGCCATCGAGTCAGTTCCAACTCCTAGCAATCCTATGAACAACAGAATAAACACTGCCCAGTCCGGCACCATCCTCACACTTGTTCCTATACCTGATCCCATTGTTGCAGCCACGGTGTCAATCCATTTCATCGAGGGACTTCCTCTTTTTTGTTGCCCCTCCACTTTACCAAACATGATACCCTTCTCCGGGGAATGGTCTCTGCTGACAATGTGTTCAAAGTATGTAAGGTGAAGTCCTGATATCCTTGCCTCTAAGAAGTTCTCTAGACATGTTTCTTCCAACACAGATATGTTTGTCCTTTTAGCAGTCCATGGTACTGTCAATATTCTTCACTTTCACCACAATTCAAATGCATCAATTTTTCTTAGATTTTCCTTAATCAATGTCCAACTTCCACATGCACATGAAGCCATTGAAACTACCATGGCTGAAGTCAGGCCCACCTTATTCCTCAAAATATCACCTTACTTTTCAATATCTTTGTGCAGCAGATTTACCCAATGCAATGTGTCTTTTTATCTCTTGACTGCTATTTCCATTCAAACAACTACTTCTGAATCCATGTACAAGTTCTGCATAAGACAATTAAGTGTTCTGGAATTTCCATTCTTCTCAGGATTATCCCTAGTTTGTTTATGATGCACACAGTCAAATGCCTTAGAATAGCCACTAAACTACAAGTAAACATCTCTCTGGTATTGACTGCTTAATTCCAAAATCAGTTAGACATCATCGCTGATGTCTCTTGTTCCATGTCCTCTTGTGAATATGGCCTGAAGTTCTGGTAGCTCCCTGTCAACGTATGGCTATAACACTTGTTAGATGATCTTCAGCAAAATTTACTTGCATGTGATATCAGTGATATTTTTCTGTAGTTTGAGCATTATGTTAAGTCACCTTTATTTGAAATGGGTACAAATATGGTTTGGCCAACTAGCTGTCTTCCAAGTTTCCTATCATAGATGAATAAGTGCTTCTAGTGCTTCATCAACTTTTTAAAACATTTCGATTGATAGTCCATCAATCTCTAGAGCCTTGTTTTTTGCTAATGTTTTCAATATAGCTTGAACTTCTTCCTTCAGCACCATTGATAATTTCTCATATTGTACCTCCTGAAATGGTGGAATGTTGACTATTTTTGATACAGTGACTCTGTATTCATTCCATCTTCTTTTGATTCTTCCTGAATCATTAAATATTTTCCCCATAGAATCTTTCAATATTTCAACTGGAGGCTTGAATTATTTTCTTGAGTCCTTTCAGTTTAAGTTATTCTGAGCATGTTCTTTTTTGGTTTTCAAACTCTAGATCTTAGGATAATTCATTATATTTGTGTTTTCTCAAGCTGCCCTTTGAAATTTTCTCTTCAGCTTTCCCCATTTTCTGTTCATCCCCTTTCCCATTTGCTTTAGCAAATGGATTAAGAAAAATGCTAGATCTTTCTTACCTGTGTTTTTAATGACCTTTTACTTTCTTCATGAATGATGTTCTTGATGGCATCCCACAGTTTATCAGGTTGTATTTCTGTAGTGCTCAATATGTCAAACTGTTCTTGAGATGGTCTAGAAATTCAGGTGGGATAGACCCAAAGTTGAATTTTAGCTCTGGTGGGCGTGCTTCAATTTTCTTCAGCTTTAACCTGAACTTACATATGAGCAATTGATGGTCTGTTCCATGGTAAGCTTCAGTGTGGTTCTAGCTGCTAATATTGAGCTTCTTCATTGTGTCTTGCCACAGATGAATTCAATTTGATTTCTGTGAATTCAATCTGAAGAAGTCCATGTATATAGTCGTTTTGTGTTATTGAATGTAGGTATTTACTATGAACAAGTCGTTGGTCTTGCAAAATTCTATCATGCAATCTCCAGCTTCATTTTTCAAGTACATATTTACCTACTACTGTTCTTTCCTCTTTGTTTCCACCTTTTGCATTCAAATCACCAATAATTATCAGTGCATCTTGATTGTATATTTGATCAATCACTAGAATTCTTCAGTTCTTTCATCCCTAGTTTTTGTGGTTGGTGCATACATTTGAGTAATAGTTGTATTGTTTGGGTTTCATATAAAGAAAATGATATAAAAAATCCAACAACAATAACAAAATAAAACAAAAATGTTCCATTCCAAAAGAAAGCAAAACATATTAAAAACATAGGAAAATTAAAAATTGGTCAAAAGGGAAAACAAATTGTAATACCCACTTTTCAATTCATCCTGTCTGTACATAAGACTATTCATATTCCCTCTTTGTATTGTAAATAATAAAATCCAT